CTTCTCAAAATCTGAAACATTAGTGCAGTGGTTTATGTTAAGATAAACCTTTGGGTTAAGTTGTCGCAAGCAGGTTTTTCTTGTGTTTCTTGTGAATTTGGTCTTAAATTTTTATTTCAAGTGGCATTAAAAAGTCATAAAAAGTCTTGAATTCACTGCTGGAAGAATGCAGGAGGGAGGGGTTACTATATTTGGACAAAAATGGCTGCTCTTGAAATTAGTGATGGCGACGAAAATTTTTATTTTTTTTCTGATTAGGGCTATATTCATTAAATCACTTCAAATTTATTAGTTTTAGGTATAAACAATGATCTATTGCTAACTGGACTTTTCCTTTAAAATCACAGCTGAATATATATTTTTGGTTTTAGGATGACAAATCATGATATTTGCAAAGGCATTGTAAGTATTTTATATTTTCTCTCTGTGCTCATCAACCCATTTAGCATCCTGTTTTGTTGTTAATAAAAAAAAAGGCAAATGAGGGAAATGCCTGTGAGAAGGAAAATAAAAGTTGATGCTACAAGGAGATGATTGTCGATCAGATGGTCTGGATCGCCAGAGCTGCCAGATCTAGTCTCCTCTTGCCAAAAGCTGATGTGCTGTGGCAGGTTGCTGTTTGCTAAAACCTGGCTGTAAGGGAGCGAAAAGAGCAGGAAATGAGTGTGTAAACTGTCAGCGTGCGTCAGAAGCTGCCAGTTCGGTACGTAGAGGTGTCCCAGTTGTCTGCTTCTGACTGTTAGCCCCTCCGGCACCACAAACATCAGCGATCACGCCATGGAGTTTCTACCAGACCAGTTTGGCCAGAATAAATAATCAGCAGTTTGCTGTGTTTTTAGATATTTATGTTTTGGATTGGGGAGGCACTTCAACTCTTTTTGTTTTGTTTCCTTATGATGTGGGTTGCACTGCATACAACCCTCAAAGCAGAAACAGAAGAGGACCAGAATCATAATCTGCTCTTCTTTTAAAATCTCCTTGCTTTGTCAGGTGTTCTGACTCTTCCTGATAATTAGCTGCTTTTAACAGGCCTTTGGCCTGGAGGATATTTCTCTTTGATACATTCAGATGTTGCTGCAGTACGGCTGCAGAAACCCTTATAGCATAGAAACCCAATAATGTTTCAACGAAATTCTTATCCCAAACCTTTGGCAAACAGTTGATTTTACAGGACGACTGTTGATGTAGTGTGGTGCTCAGGGCCACTCTGAGATTGAATGGTCCAGCACCCAGAAAGACTTGAGTTTTGTTTGAAGTCATGTAGTTGTCATCATGATGGGAAGTAACCAACGCAGTGATCTGTTGGGTCAGCTGCCACCAGAGGTTCAATCCACCTTTCATAGTCAAATGTTCAACACTTGGATATCAGCTTAACAAAGGACAGGTGCTGTCACTGTGCAGATTAGCTGCTACCAGAACCACTTCATCTCCACTCTGAGCAGCAATCACCGCACTCTGCCTCACCTTCCCCTCACTGATCATAGATTACTGTGCAGAGTTTCTAACTCTTAACTACAGCTCTGGTGAATTTCAATGGTGAAGTCCTCTGGAAATCTTCAATAATTGTTGTTGATTGCAGATGTGTCTAGTAGTTCCTATTGATTTTGCTTGTAAAGCGGGGAGAATGGCGCTAGGCTTACCGCACCGTGACATCACTGCTGGAAGATGGCAGGAGGGAGGGGTTACTATATTTGGGCAAAAATGGCCGCTCCCGGACCTAGTGATTGTTACAAAATTAATTGAACCACTACAAACGTATCAGTTTTAGGTATAAATGATGATCCATTGATTATTCCTTGCTGATTGGACTTTTCCTTTAAAGTGTGATGAGTTTATCTTCTAGGTAGATCTGCCTTGCTTGT